ATATAATTCCAATAGACTGTATTTACAAGTAGAATACGTCCAATTAGATTGGAACGCCGGGTACCCTACTCTAACATGAACACCATCCATTTGCAGTTTCTGGACCTTTGCTTGGTGTCAATAAGTCAATTGTATCTCCTTTTAGAATCTTATGCCCTCTAACTGTCAGTTTTAACAGCTCGAAGTTGTTTTGCAGGAGATTTTCCTGCACCTGAAAGTTTCGGCGACGGCAGAGCAACAGACAGTCTTTTCTTGTAGTTCTGACTGGAAATATTTGTTTTGTGTTATGTTTTCAGTTCATTTTACATTATTTTGGCAGGTCCATTTAGGGATCGGAGTTTTCTTTTTGAAGGTTTTACAGGTCCACGAAGGTCATCACCTTCATTAGACATGCATAAACGAGCCCGACCTTCTTTCTAACTAACTGGTGTTTTTTTGTGAAACTTTCAGGAGGATTTAATTTTAGCCATCTTCAGATCTGATTTTTTTTTATAATTGTTTCATTACTTTTTAATTTAAATTAATTGTAATTCGCACGAATTTCATCATACTTTTTTCGTGTGTGAAATTATTCATCTGAAGTTGAGGTGTCCCTTTGAATGATTTTTCTTGCTTCCTTACTTTCTGGGTACAGTTAGGTATTAGGGAATCTGTGATTACATTTTTACAAAATATGTTAATTTTAGTGACATGTTGTCGCCACATATAAATAATTGCAACTCCATTTCTTGCTTTCCAATCACAAACCTAAAAAATTAAATTAATCTAATATTAGTTGCACCAAATGTTTTGTTTGAAAAATTGTTCTCTCAGTATTATCTCTATCTCTTTTCTCAATTTTCAAATAGCTCTCATTACTATCTCTTATAATTAGTGTATAATGTGGTACCTAATCAAAATGCTTCAATCCTAGACATCATAACTCCAACAATATACTCTAATCGCACACTTAAACATTTGTAGGAATGTTTTTATCGGATGGTTAATCTCTCGTGAATATAGTGACTAGGGGTAGAGGAAAATTAAGTTTTTTTATGTTTATGTAAAAATTTGTGTAGACTAAAATACCCTATCAAACAAAATTTATTAACGATTTGTAATGGCAAAAAGTACTTTGCAATTTGGTCTTTTAAAATTCTTAAAAGTTTCAAGTTTCAACATTCATATTTGGTTATCCATCAATATATGTGCAAATCCTTCAGCCAAACCCTTACAAATTATTTGGTGTGTAATCGTTTCTCTTCCTTCAGATCACTACAAATTATTTGGTGTGCAATTGTTTCTCTTCCTTCAGTTCACTACAAATTATTTGGTGTGCAATTGTTTCTCTTCCTCCCATTCACGCACGGCAAAACCAGCAACGAGTTTATTTGGAAGGGTTTTTCTGGTCCGACAGCAAAACCACCACGAGTGCGAGGATTTAATCGCCGTTATTGGGAAACAGACGGGTCAAATTAAAGATCGGAGTTTTCTTTTTGAGGGGTTTACAGGTCCACCGAAGGTTATCAGCTTTGCGCGAGATTTTTTTATGCACTTGGAATCTTCAACCGGCGACGATAGAGGAATAGGCGAGTCTTTTCTTATAGTTATGGAAATAATTGTCTTTTCTTATAGTTATGGAAATAATTGTTTTTGTTCTGTGTTTTCAGTTTATTTTACATTATTTTGGCTGCTACAAATTGTTCGTCATTAATCAATGAATGAGTTACTAACAATTGTTTACATGATTTTTTTTAAAAAAAATATTATGCCTTCATTTTCCTGTCTATATTTGCTTTCCATTGTTCGTATATGCAATTCTGGAATGACTCTCTTAGTTAAAATTGAATTTTAGAGTCAAAGATTAATCTTTGGAGGTGGTCAAGGTCTTTCTAATATCTATTTACCTAAACCAACTTAATCAATGAACATAATAATGCTCTAGATAAAGGATAAGGAACAAATAAATGCCAAAAGCTAATACTCAAATCTAACAGTAAGCAATCCTTTCTTTCCTACTGTAATACTACAACATAAATGGCTTTAGGTAGCACCAAAGAAATGATACGTAAAAGTTATAAAATGTTACGTTAAAACTATAAAATGTTACTATAGACAATAGGTAATACAATATTGGCGCTACAGTTGTTTGTGCTACCTAAAGGTCAAAGGTAATACTTTTGATAATTTTTTGTAATACTTATATGATACTTTTGCTAATTTTTGGTAACACTTATATTAAAAGTGTTACAATAATATGATACATAAACCAATAATTGTAAAGTATTACAGTAAATACTGCTACCTAAAGTCATTTATGTTGTAGTAATGATCAATAAGATTTGGTTCTTATCAAGTTCTAAAAGAATAACGTGATACTTTTTTATCGAAAGTCTGAGCTTATAAATGATAGTGCAGATAACATTGTTCCTTACAACTTTGCTCATTAATCATTTCTGGGGCATTAGTTGGCGAGGTTATTGCTAAAGCAGTATTCCATTTATATCCATCAGTAAATATTTGTGTTATATGGTGTAATATGATATGGTGTATGAAGGCCATATTTCCACTAATTGACATTCACTTGTGTAGACTATATTTCCACTAATTATTATTCGATTCGTTTTTAATTTATTATTTTGTTTATAACAAATATTATAATTATTAATTCCACAACAAGACAATTATGGAAAACCAACCTTTCATACTTTTGATACTTTTAAAAGAAAATAGTGAAGATTTCAACTTACGTCTAAAAGTTCTATGAATTGCACCTGAACTATCTTGCGGGAAAAATCTTTCAATAAGGATCCGCAGAGACGTACTCTTCAGCCTGACGACATTCCTCTCCACCTCCGCACCCTTATACGGATGACCAGATTGGATACCCATCGTTCAGATTTGGACAGTCGGACTTACATTTTGGTGCATCTGCTTACTCGTGATGTTGACTCTTCACGTGGACTCTTTCAGGACTAGGATCAGATTTTTGTTGGTTATTTGCAACTGTTGTCTTTTTCTTTAAAAAAATAAAAATGAAAAGAAAAACAGGATCCGTAAAATTATTATGAGTGATGAAGTGGTAAGTAGTGCTATCAAATTCCACGTCATTTAGCCAACTTTTATATTTTTCAAATTATAAATCTTAAGTTATAAATTTTTCCGTATTTTGCAGGGAATAAAGATTGGTGTCATAATATTCAATGATGAAATTGATTTCTTTACCGAAAAATTTGCAATTAATAATGCTTATATTTTTCTAAATGTGAAATTAATAAACCAAAGCAGACTTTTGTTACTCCAAACTCGGATGTAGAATTGGTGTTAAATAGACATACTTCTATGATTCATGTAGTAGAGCTTATTGGAAATGTATTAATACAACTTTGTGGATTTTGAAGATCTTAACCTTCATCTTCATAAAAATGGAACAGGTTTAGTCCCATAAAACTTTATCGATTGTCTATTTGTTAATTTATTTATATTTTTTTTATTCATTTTATAATAAATTAACACCTCCTATAGATGTTTGTGGAAATCACACTCATTAATGAATAGTAAGAAAATATTTACCTCAAACAAATTTATTACTATTTACAATTTTTAATACACCTTATTTTATTTAATAAAATTTTGTCTCATAAAGTATGCGCCCCTTGCTTGTTACTCTGTGGGAAGATTTAGCATCTAATGAAGCAAAACAATTGGAAGAAAATATGCCAAATAGTCTTATAGGTGAAATTTCTCAAGTCACTCCTAAAATATACCTTGGTAATACTTAAATAATGTTGTTTTTATTATTAAACATAATCTAATTATATATAATATAACTAAAAATAATATCTTATTTTTCATGTTTATTACTTATTAATTTTAGGTGAAATTCAAGTTCAAACTACTGGAGCATTCGTAATATAGATAAATCCACAACGTCATTAACCCGGCCTTTTGAAAAATTGGTGTGATTATTATTTTTATTTATAAAATATAATTTTATATTTCGTATGTTGAAATATTACTATTCATAACTTTCTAATATGCATTTATTTTTATATGTTACAAAAATAGATTGGATAAAACTCAAAATCGGATTAAACTTCGATAATTAGCAACTATTCAAAGAATGAAGTTGGCAAATCAAGTGACACTCAGCACCATCATAGACAACAAACATATATTATCCCAGGTAAAATTAGTTACCTTTTTTTCTTTTAAGTTTCATTACAATATTTTCTAAGTTTTTCTTTTTTATATTTTTCAAGGAAATGTATTATTGTTTCGAAGGAGTTGTTGATATATCGAAAATAAATTGTCCATGTTGTACAATGCATGCACAAAATGTTCCGTTTTTGTTTTTAGAACCAAAGATACAACAATTTGCAACAAATGCAAAAAGGAAAATGTCGAAACCAAACTTAGGTACGGATATAATAAAGTTTACTTTATTAATAATTCTAAATATATTATATATTTATCATTATTTTATTAATTGTAGATACAGGATTGTTTTGAATGTCGTCCATGGATCACACAATGCAACCATAGCTATGTTTGAGGAAGTTGCTACTGCATTCATTGGTTGCACATCTTGAATACATAAAATCCATTGAGGAGGTAACAAAATTCAATACAACATATTTAATATATTTATTTTATTTCATTTAAAACTAAGATTCTTATTAAACTTATTCATCCAGGGGGAAAACAACTCTAAATTTTTTAGAGAACTCAGCTTGCAAACTTCAGCTACAATTAAATTTCTCATACCATTAAATGCTAAAACCAAGGTGGACGATAAAAAGCTAATTGTCGTTGCTGAAGCAATCGAGAAGATTAACCCACCTTTGGAAAAGGGCAAGAAGAGAACAAAGAACGATGAAGATGTCGATGGAAATTTTGAAAAGAAGTCGCATCGAAAAAAAATTAAACGCCAAATTACCCACACCTTTGCTGACATTGGATTTTCAAGCGATGAATAAACTCTACATACAATAAAGAAGAAGAAGAAGTACACCAAGAAAATGCCGGCTTCAGGAAACACAAAAACCAAGAAAATGGTTGAAATAAAAAGGAGAAGCCATGAAGAGATTTAACATAGCATTATTCCTATTTTATGCTTCTAATAAAATTATTTCACGTACATGATGATGAATTTTTTATGATATTATTCTCGTTCTCCATTTACCATTTTACTATGCACTACATTCCTTCTAATTCCACAATTAAATTAAACATCTACCCCTCTTTATGAACTTATGTTTGGGTATAACACCTTCAAATATCCTTATTCTACAAATTCTTATATAGCTTGTACTTCTTATTTATTTATTTTTTACTTATTTTTTTGTTTCTTAGATTGATTATGCTATCCACCTATTCAAAATTCAAATAAATAAGAATAAAAAATCTTACATTTTAAAATTACATGTTACGAATTTAAAAAAGAGAAATGATTGATTCAGATCTTAGTGTAATGGAATGTTTGAACGAAGCTATCACTTTCCAAATGCCAAATGAATTGCGTAGATTATTTGCAATAATTTTGGTACGTTGTTCTCCAACTGATGTGAGGGTCCTTTTGGATACATATTTTGATGCATTGTCTGAAGATTTTATGAAATTCTCCAATTGCACAATTGAACAACGAATTTCAAAAACTTTAAAAAGTTTAGATTCTTTTCTTCAGAGCATGGGGAAATGTATATCTTTATATGATCTTCCAGATATTGTTGTCAATGAAGAAATAGGGGTAAATCATTTTCCCAAAGAGGTTGAAGATGAAATGTCAATTGAGATACCTCAAGAAGATTACGATGCTGAGGAAAAACTTAATCATGAACAGCATAAAGCTTTTTCCATGATTATAGAATGCATAAAAAAAGACAATGGTGGGATATTCTTTGTTGATGGCCCAGGTGGAACAGGAAAAACATTTTTATATCGTGCGTTGTTAACTCATGTTAGATCAAAGGGTAAACTAGCACTTGCAACTGCAACGTCTGGCGTTGCTGCCGCCATTTTGCCTGGGGGAAGAACAACACATTCTCGGTTTAAAATACCCGTAAACGCAGATGATTCAACTTCTTGCAGTATATCAAAGCAAACTGGAGCTGCTGAACTACTACGTAGAACGCAACTCATTATATGGGATGAAGCCCCAATGGCAAAACGATGGGCAATTGAGAATGTTGATAAACTATTAAAAGATGTGATGGGGACGAATAATGATTTTGGTGGAAAAGTCGTCGTGTTTGGTGGTGATTTCAGACAAGTTTTACCAGTTGTCCCTAAAGCAACAATACATCAAACTATTTCGGCAAGTTTGGTTAAATCGTATTTGTGGCCAAAAATGAAAAATATAACTTTGTCGAGGAATATGAGATCAAGGAATGATCCTAATTTCAGTGATTTTTTACTAAGAGTTGGAAATGGTGAACAACCATCTGATACTCAAGGTAACATTGAAGTTCCAGATAATATGGTTATTCCTTACGATAATGATGAATCCTCCACCCTGCAGCTAATATTATCTATCTTTCCGGATTTAACTACAAATGCCCACTCATCTCATTACATGGCAAGTCGAGCTATATTAGCAGCAAAAAATGAGCATGTTGATAAACTCAATGAAGCTTTGATATGCATGTTCCCTGGAGAAGCGAAAACATTTAATAGTTTTGATCAAGCAGTTGATGACACAAACAGCTATTACGGAGAGGACTTTTTGAACTCATTAACTCCCAATGGTTTGTGACCGCGCGTCGCAACACGGCAAATTTAAATTTATAAGTTTTCCTCAACAAACCTCTACTAACTAGTAGTAGCGGCGAGTAAGGGTCGATCCCACGAGGAGCAGGAATTAAATTGTGACAATCTCGTATTAATTGAATTAAACTAGGAAAGCAATAAAAGGTGGGGGGATTGGTTTTATAAAAATAAAAATAAAAATAAAAATCTAATAAAATAAGAGAAGTCCAGTTTTCGGTTCAGTTATCACCCAATCTAAATCTACCGTTAATTAATTTCGACGCTTTCTCTAAATTGCCGATAAATTACCAACCCTAGCTAACAACAAGCTCTGTTAACCGAATTTTTCCTTACCGAATATTTAATCGAAATAAGCTCTTCGACTAAACCTAACTAGTGGACAACCTAGAATAAGCTCTCTAGATTTAGTACACTAGCAGCATTAATTACTAGGAAAATAGATTGATCTAAGCAATAGACGCAAAAGTTCAGACCATTTAACTTATGTTCACGCTACCCTAGAGATGCACGACCCCTAGTTTACTACTAACGAAACGAGACAATAACAATTACGGATTAAAGTCCCGAATCTAGCAATTAAACTATGAACATTCAACGTAGCTGGCCAAACTAAATCAAATACACATAATTCATAAACATTAAACACAGATAGCATGAATCAACTCATCAACAAAAATAAATACGGCATCTCGATTAATCAACGATAAATATAAATCATTTAATTTATAGACAAATTGAAATTAGGGTTCAAACATCCCCTCAAACTGGATAAAAATATTAACCTAACATACTAATAAAAAAAAACTAGATAAAAGAGAGAGATTAGTTATCTCCCTCGTGTGTAGATGCGGCTTCTCTCCGCGTGTGGCTTCCTCTTTCTTCGTGTGTTCCTTCCGTCTGTCTGCGTGAGCTTCGTCTCGTCCTTTTTTATTTTCTGTGTGTGGCGTACTTTTTTTTCTGTCTGCGGATCCCTTCACGTCAATATTTTTTTTTTTTTTTAAATTCCTGGGGCCTTCTCCAATAAAATAATGTTCCCTTCTAAGAATGGAGTCTTCTTTAATTAATTGTCCTAGCCAATGAAATCCTCCGCCAAAGACTCCAATTAAAATGTCCACCCTTTCATGCGTGAGTGCTTTTTGCTGCTGCCTTTCTTTTCTTAATCAAGTCCTCCCCAAATAATTCTCCAAACATCCATATTAAGTACAATGTTGGGCCTTAATTACTTAGCTTTAGCCCAACCCATTAATTCTTGCCATATTAACTCAATCAACTTTGATGTTTTCGTGTGCAGGTATTGGGCTCTCGAGCTTCTGTCCGAAATTTCGCCATCCTTAAAAATCTTCTAATATGCTGAAAATAAATATAAAAATATCAATGTATATGAATCCATCCAAATAATAAACAAGTTAAAAAAAATATAAATGTGCGAATAAAATAAGTGTATAAAAATACACTATTAAATATATAAAACGTGCACATTTTTTGACCTATCAGTTTGCCTCCTCATAGCCTCATTCTAAAACGAAACTGTCCAATAATTTTTTTGAGAAATTTAGATCCATCAAATGGATTGTGCAATGGCACAAGAATGGTATGTCGAGGTTTCAAAAATAATGTCATTCATGCTGAAATTGTGTTTGGCCAACATAGTGGGAAACATGTCTTCATACCTAGAATACCACTTTCGCCCGCTGAAAGTGAAGGTTACCCATTTCAGTTCACGAGGAAACAATTTCCCATTCGACTTTGTTTTGCAATGACGATTAATAAAGCTCAGGGACAAACAATTCCTAATGTTGGGATCTATTTGCCACAATCAGTATTTTCGCATGGACAGTTATATGTTGCTCTTTCTAGAGGTACTCAATGTCTTCAACAAAGCTTCTAATTAAACCAGACGTTATGAATGGAGGAGATACTACTAAAACAAGAAATGTTGTATACAAAGAAGTTCTTATTGCAGGTATACGTGTTTTACTTTGTAACCATTATATATATATATTAGTTATATTTACTAAAACTAACTAAATTCTTACAGGACAACGAAGCAACCGATAATCACACATACCACTTCCGCACATCAAAGGTAATGTATTAAACAATTTTCTGGTATACACATTGGTTCTGTTTAAATATTATAATAAATATATCTCCAAAATTAAATAAAATGTAAAATTTTTAATTCTCACACTTTTCTTTTTTTTTTTTATTAAATAAAACCCACTAAAAGTCAAAATATTTTTGGTAAAATTCACATTCAATTTAATTGAGTAAACAAATATTATATTCCCTTTGCCCATTTTCCAAATTAACTGCTAACTAAAAATGATTATCGTCCTCTTACAACTAATTCCATTCATAAATACTTCTCACTTTCTTAAACATTTGGTTCTTCACTTCATTACCATCTTCTTTACATTACTGAGGATTTTATTAATTGCATATCATTTACCTATATTTTAAAATCATACTATTTTATTAATGTTGTCGACATTCACATGTAAGTATTTATTTTGTCAATAATTTCTGAAAGTATCTCTTCACCGGAAAACATATATTTACTTCATTTCGATGATTTTACAAACCTTTGCATGAACTAAGGACGCGTGCCAAGGAAGTTGCTGACAGCGTTTTTGGAAATACAAAACTTAACGATTATTGCATTAGGAAGTTTAACCACTATCTAAAAATGAGCGTAAAGGTGTACCTTCTTCATGGTGGTTTTAACTTCTTGTATTTATTAGGATTTTTTTCGTTGGGTATATTGTTGGAGCCTGAAGGGCAGTTTGAACTTAGCGGTGCACCTCTCTAAACTGTGCACCAAACTTGCCCACAAATTAATTATCATCTTTACCAGGTTAGTAGCAGAATCTTTGAAAGGCTGTAGATTGATGGCTTAATCTTTATTCTTTGTTTTTTCAACCAGAGAGGTTCACATTTGGGGTTGAGGTTTCATATATGATCCTTACACATAATGAAAAATATAACTAACGCGAAAATGGGGGTATTCCCTTTAAGTTAAGAGCTGTTCATTCTTTTTTTGTGCATGCCAATTTTTGTGTATTGATAATAGTAAATGAATATGAAATGTTACTGTTTGGTCTTTTTGTGCTTTGAACATATCTTTGTTATTTTTATCATTTATAAAGTCTGGGTGCCTGCTAAATGGGATGAAGTTGGCAATTATCTGAAACTAGAAAATAATATGGAGAACAACTTCTGACCTTAACCAATATCCTTTCTTCTAATATAAGTAATTATATCCTACAAAATGTGATCATACCTCTTTTAAATTCAGATACTAACATTCATTTATTTGAAAGCTATACATTTAACTGCATACACTAATTCTCTTTTTATCTCGCTTAAACCAATCAGATAGTTATCAATTCATAACTCCTGTGTAAATGGCATTTTTATGCACTAATCTTAAAAACTAATTTGATATTCCAAATATTCCACTCAATTGTATTAGTTATTAGACAACAACTAAATTATAGGGTACCTCTGTTCTACTTGAAGAACTTGTTTCTTACTAGCTTCAGGTTAGTATTTTCTTCTTTCATTTTTTTCCTTTTTCCTTTTCTTTTTAAATTATTATATATCGTGGAAAGATGGTGATGAATTACTAGCTGCTTGGAGGGATTGCAAAATGGGATTTCCATGGATCGATGCTATAATGATGCAGGTAGCTTCGGTCTGTTATTACTTTTTCATATACTCTGCTAAATCTGATCATTTTCAACAAGTTTTTAGATCCAAACTTTTAACATTATTCATATAACAGCTTTGAAAATGGGAGCTGGTTGCACCATCTCGCTTTACATTGGGTCGCTTGTTTTCTGACTCGTGGAGATTTCATAATCAATTTTTCTACAACTGTTTTGTGCTCAAATATTATGAATTTAGGAATTACATATGAAAATTACAAAATAAAAAAAAAAAAACATATTTTTACAAATTATTTAAATTTGTGAGTTATGTGGAACAGGATGGTGATAAAGTCATTTTAAATGTTATGGTGTATGTCAGGGTGGAAACGTTGGTGGAGTATAGGGACCCAAGGGATGTAATATGTGAGGCCACAGACAAATTCAAGGTAAATTTTTCTATTATGAAAAGCAGTGGATATGGTGTTATTAAGACGTACCTTCTCCTTCATTTTCTATTTCTTTGATTTCCTCTGCACACACTTTGAGTTCAAATTCCATTTGATTATATGAAATATGATGAATATCATCTATTTTTAGTAGCATTGATTCTCGATACATCTATATACATTTTCATTCTAAGTACCCTTACATAGTATATATATAGCTTCAACATAATATTTCGGTGACAAAAATAAAAGCTATAGCTGATTGTCCATGATGGTTTTCCTATTTATTTGAAGATATATGACCTATATATTCCATATAAATAATGCAAAACACTAAATACCATGTGATCATCATATGAATAATACTATAATTTTTCCTTAACAACTTCATAATGTAAACATTTTATTCATTATATAGATTTAGTACATAAATTGCTCATTTTATTGTCCGTAACTTACAAAACTTTACAATTTCAACCCTCTACAATTGCATAGTTTAATTGTTGTAACCCTCTACAGATATATTTTTATTCTTATACCAAATAATACCCCAATTGTTCATTCATCTTGCTTTTGCATTTGATTATACTCATTATTAGAGTTCATGGTTTTTTTATTGGTTACTACACTTTTTCAATGGCAGCTAATATATCTTTTTCCAATGGTAGGCCACTTCTTGGAACTATGAGTACTCACTGCACTCACAACGTTAATTGCCCAGTTATTAAATGGTATCAAATATTCTTATTCAATTGGGTTTAAGAGTTACAGTGAAAAGGGTTGCCTTTTCTTCTCTGTAATGGAAGATTTATGGGTTTATCTTTCTTATGTTTTTTTTTTTATTTGTATATTTGTTTGATTTTGATTGAATTTGTGTGTGTTTCTTTACATTTGTAAACCTTAGAATATACCATACAAAAGGGATTGCAGAAAAAAAAATATATATATATTCTGTCTAATTTATACTAAGTTCAGACACTTGAGGAAATTAACTATATATATTTGCCATTTTCAACTTGTGATTCTGAATTTTCATTTCCCTTTTTCTTTTCTGGCCTCTTAATTTATCTTTTCCAATGTTCTTTGTACAAATTTCCTGGCTCAAGATTCTGTAATCCCTTGAATTCTCAGACATGAAAATGCAGGTTACGAAAAACCGACATTTTCGATCAAAGGGAAGCCGATTCAGCATTTCGTAGGGACTTCAACGATTAGTGATTACACTATGATTCATGCAGGATCTGTTCCTAAAATCAAACCACTTGCTCCTCTCCACAAAGTTTACGTGGTGGGATTTCAACAGGTACCAATCAATTCCATTTTTTTCCTAAGTATTCATATGGAAGTTGTAGTGTTGTTCTTGTCTTGATTGTTTTCTGCTGATAGTTTCTTCATTAAACAATCCAAAATTAACTCTTATGTTACATTGTTATAATTGTCTATTTAAATGAGTAACAACTAAAATTTTAATGTCATCAATTCCTTTTTAATTACAATAACAAATGAAAACAATCTTTCATATTCTACAATAATCACTATCATTTAATAATCAATATGCATGATTAACTATTTATACCAACAATCTTACCATCATCTTACCAATCTCACAATCCTCAATTACAGGTACTTTATTATTATTATTATTATTTTATTATTATTATTATTATTATTATTATTATTATTATTATTATTATTATTATTATTATTATTTATTTCTTATTTATATTTTGATGATACAAACTTGATATTTTTCACAGCAAAACTACTTTTGCAATCTTCAACTACTTGGTGCAGCAAATTCAAGTAAGTATGCCGAATCTTTTATTAAGTTTTTTTCTAATTTTTCATAAACTTGACCACTTATAATTGTTTTCTTTTACTCTAATAAATATGTAAATAAGCTTGTTAGTGTAATTTTTTTAGAGTCACACTTATTTTTGTAAGGGGTTGTTAATCCTATACCTCATAACTAACAATATACTCCACTGACACACTTATACATTTCTAATTCCTCTAATTATTATTTTTTTATTTTTAATTTATTACTATATTTATTATCTCTACAACAGGACAATTATGGAAAACCAAACTTCCATACCTTTGAGACTTTTGAAAGAAAATAATAAAGATTCCAAACTACGCCTAAAAGTTCTACGAATTGTACCTGACCTGTCTTGCGGGAAAAATCTTTCAATGAGGATCCACAAAATTATTATGACTGATGAAGAGGTAAGTAGTGCTACCAAATTTTATGCCATTTAACCAATTTTTTTTATTTTTCAAATTATAAAACTTAACTTATAAATACTGTCATATTTTGCAGGGAATAAAAATTGGTGTAATAATATTCAATGATGAAATTGATTTCTTTAATAAAAAAATTGCAATTAATAATACTTATATTATTTCTAATTGCGAAGTTAAAAAACCAAACCAAGTTTTTGTTACTCCAAACCCGGATGTAGAATTGGTATTACATACAGATTCTTCAATTATTGATGCCGCCAATCCTATTGGAAATGTATTGAAATTCAACTTTGTGGATTTTGAAGATCTTAACCTTCATCTTCACAAAAATGGAGCAGGTTTAGTCCCATCAAACTTAATCTATATTCTATTTCATAATTTATTTATATTTTTTATTTTATATTAAATTAACACCTCCTATAGATGTTTGTGGAATTGTTTTGTATGTCAAAGATTCCAAAATGATAGTTACTTGAAAGGGAGAAATGAAGACTATTAGAGAAATCACACTTATCAATGAAGAGTAAGAAAATATTTATCTTAAACAAATTTTTTACTATTTAAAATTTTTAATTTTAATACACCTTATTTTAATTAAACTAATCTTCGGTGATGAAGTATGCGTCCCTTGCTTGTTACTCTGTGGGAAGATTTAGCATCCAATGAAGGGAAGCAATTGGAAGAAAACATGCCAAATAGTCTTATAATTGGAATTTCTCAAGTCACTCCTAAAACATACCTTGGTAATACTTAAATATTTTTTTTATTATTAATCATATTCTTATTGTATATATAATTATTGTAAATAAAATATAATAACTTCTTTTTCATGTTCATTACTTATTAATTTTAGGTGAACTTCAAGTTCAAACTACTGTAGCATCCGTGATACAGATAGATCCACAATCTCATCAAACAGTCCTTTTGAAAGAATGGTGTGAATATTATTTTATTAATAAAATACAATTTATTTTTCGTATGTTTAAATATTTCTATTCATATATTTCTAATATACATTTATATTTTTATATTACAAAAATAGCTTGGATAAAACTCAAAATCGGATTAAACTCCGACAATTAGCAATTGTTGAAAGAATGAAGTTGGCAAATCAAGTGACTCTCAGCACCATAATAGACAACAAAAATACATTATCCAAGGTAAAATTATTGTCCTGTTTTTCTTTTAAATTTCATTATAATTATAATATTCTCTAAAATTTTCTTTTTTATATTTTTCAAGGATATGTATTATTGTTTCGAAGGAGTTGTTGATAGAATTGAAAATAAATTGTCCTTGTGGTACAATGCATGCACAAAATGCTCTGCTTCTGTTTACAAAACCACTTGCAACAAATGCAAAGAGGAAAATGTTGAAACTAATCCTAGGTACGCAAAAAATAAATTTTACTTTATTAAATAATTTTTTAATATATTATATATTAATCATTATTTTATTAATTGTAGATTCAGGGTTGTTTTGAATGTCGTCCATGGAACACACAATGCAACCATAACTATGTTTGAGGAAGCCGCTACTACATTCATTGGTTGCACAGTTCTTGAATACATCAAATCCATTGAGGAGGTAACAAAATTAATTCCAACATATTTAATATATTTTATTTATTTTATTTAAAACTAACATTCTAATTAAACTTAATCATCCAGGGGGACAATAACTCCAAAGTTTTTCGAGAACTCAGCTTGCAAACTTCATCCATGTTTAGATTTCTCATACCATTAAATGTCAAAACCAAGGTGGACGGTAAAAAGTTAACTGCTGTTGCTGAAGCAATCGAGAAGATTAACCCTCCTTTGGAAAAGGGCAAGAAGAGATTAAAGAACGATACAGATGTCGATGGAAATCTTCAAAAACAGTCGCACCAAAAGAAAAATAAACACCGAATCACCCACACCTCAACTAACGTAGAAATTTCAAGCGATGAAGAAACTCTACAAACAATGAAGAAGAAGTACGTCAAGAAAATGTCGGCTCCAAGAAACACAAAAACCAAGAAATTGGTTGAAATAAAAAAGGAGAAGCCATGAAGTTATTTAACATAGCATTAATATTCCTATTTTGTGCATCAAATAAAATTGTTTCACGCATATGATTATGAGTTTTTTATTATATTATTATCGTTCTCAATTTACCATTTTACTATGCATTACGTTCCTTTTAATTCCACAATTAAATTAAACATCTACCTTCTCTCTATAAAACTATGTTCGAATATAATACCTTCAAATATACTTATTCTACATATTCTTACATAGCTTGTACTTATTTATTTTATATCTTTCTTACATTGATTACGCTACGCACATTTTCATAAATTCACATAAACAATCTTACAACCTAAAACTACATGTTACGAACTTAAAATTCAAAATCTTTACAACGCAACTACCATCTCTGAATAAACTTATGTTTCGATAAACTACTATGCATAATCCAACTCATTATACGGGATTTCACACCAATTACTAAACGATAAGCAATTCATAATGTTCATAAACTATTAAAATATCTAATGGGAAAAATAATTATTTTCCTATATTTTACGACTTCAAACTACATTTTACAAACTTAAAATTTAAATTCGGTACACGTGCAACGCACGTGCACCTTACTAGTGAAGATAAAAAGGGCAATTTAAATAATTTTTGAAACACAAATTCAAATAGAGTGCCTTTAAAATATTTGGGACCAGAACAAAAAAAATAAAAAAAATAAAAAAAATAAAAATGAAATATGAGAGTTAAACATCATATTCTTACACTGCTAGGAGCTTCCCATCAGGCGACACATTAAAAGCAGATACTGGATCTCGGGAAACATTGGTTGACCTTATCCTTTCCCATGAACTAGTGTTCCACTTGATGATCCTACCACCTTTATCTGTGGATATAGAAAAACAAATGGATAGGTACGGTCACCAGTAACATTTCTTTGAACAGAAA